AAAATGTATTTATAAAATTAAACGTATATATATATAACAAAACGTATTTTAAAACATATTTATAATAAAACGTATTTATAATAAAACATAATAAAAATAACATATTTCAAAGATATTAATAACATATTATAAATTTATTAATTACCAAAAATTTGAAATTTTTTTTTTTTTTTTTTTTTTTTGCAAAGACCGGCCGTAACCGATAATGGGACCGGAACCGGGACCGGACGGCTTAACCGGGACCAGACGGCTTAACCGGTTACCAGTAAGCTTGACCGGTTATGGGGGGTTTCACCGGAACCGGGACCGGTTATGATGGGACCGGATATGAATGGTTTTTGTCTTGATCGGGACCGGCCGTAACCGGTTAACGCCCGGCCCGGGACCGGTTTTTGGCTACCACTAACCTGGATATCCAACCCGTTATGCGAGCTGACTAATCCCAGGGCAACCACCTGCTTTACAGATAGCCTGGAGTCATCGCATTTGAACATCCGTGGCCATAAGGGGATTTTTATTTCTCCTTGGATTTGAACCAGGAAACTCCTGGTACTTTTGACCTTTGGAGCCAAGTTCAGACCAATCAGTTACCACCCTTGTGGTTATTTGCTTAAAATTTGGATATCATATCGGTGGTTCATAACTTTCGTTTTCATAACATCCACGGTTCTTGACTTAACATACATCATTAACCTGCAAGCGGTTTCTATTGATCATCAATGCTAACAAAGGAGATGTGGACTTTTGAGAATAATAAATACCTACGGTCTGTGACTGTGTGGTAAATGTTAATGCATGAAACCATGCAATAAGGAGACGTGTTTTTGCTGTTATTCTAAGATTACACTTACACCAAAGGGTGAGCCCATGTGATGGTAAAGATTCTCAGCCCCATATACATATCAAGGGAATTTCCATGCCAAGTTCCACTTCCACACTCCTCGTGGTGGGGTGGGGTGTGGACATGAGAACCGGTATGAAAGATCTCATTGCCGAACTCAGGCCGTTGACGAATATAGCATTGGGCGGTCCTCGTGATCGACATAATGTTGGATATATATGCAGTGTGTGCACAAGAGTGATATTCATTCCATTGCTCATTTACAACTAGTGATCACCAAATCTTCCACTTTCTGCGTTATGCGATCTAGGTTCCTCAACCCGTGGGTTTGAGTTTGACTGATGCAAAATCCTTCCTCTTTCATGAGGGTGAGCCTCATTATATATATATATATATATATAGAGAGAGAGAGAGAGAGAGGATCATTCTGCTCTCTGCCATAGAATGAATGGGGGGAATTTCGTTTCTGCATTAACTTGACATATAAGTTTCCCTACCAGGAGGGCATTCAACAGAAGGATTAGCACCCTGATGAAAACCATTGCTTGTGTTTGTTTCTTATAAGAGGAGAACAATGGTGCTCACTGGCATTGTTCCCTTCAAACATGCTGGTAGGGGTGCTCAAAAACCCAACCAACCCGATCAACCCGATGTCTAATCGAGTTGTAAAATTGTCAAACCGTAGGTATCGGGTTGATATTGGGTTACTATTATTTGAATCCAACCCAACCCGATAATATCCTTTTATTTATTGGATTTAATATGATCGTTGAATTTCTATTAATAAATACGTTAGACAATTACACTATCATGTATGCTTTTCATATACACATATTTTCAATCTATTCACATCTTTATATAACTCATCCGTATATATGTTCACTAACTGTGAACATATATAAACCACAAAGGTGGTGCCTGATTGATTTGAGCTTGGCTTCAAAGATCAAAAGTACCAATAGGTCCCAGGTTCAAATCCAAGGAGGAATAAAAATTCCTTTGTGGTGACGGAGGTTCAAATGCGGTGACTCTGGACTATCTACAAAGTAGGTGGTTGCCCTGGGATTAGTCGGCTCGCATAGCATGTTGGATATCCAGGTTAATCAAAAAAAAACGGTGAACATATATATGTAAATTGAGAAAGTTAACTGAATGTGATAGACGTAAGAAATATGGATAACTTGTATCAAATGGTTGATGATGAAAATAAAACTATGGGTAGACAAATAATATATTCAATGTTAGAAGAATACTTTAATGTACCGAAGTATCAACCCGACCAACCCTTACAGGTTGGGTTGGGTTGCACTTTGGTTTGGGTTGGGTTGGGTTAAATTTTTTCCAAACCGCAAGTATTGAGTTGGGTTGTTCAAATATAACCATATCAGGAAAACCAACCTTCTCACTTGACATAGGTGTTGGTAGTATACAGCATTCTCAATCTCTGGTAACAAGGATTGCTGCTAAATAGTTGTTTTCTAATGGCAAATTTAGATATTTATTAAATAGTCAAATATTTGTTAACTAAAATCATATTTTGTCAAATGTTACAAGAATAACATTTTTTTTCAAAATAAGCAAAATGCATATAGGTCCAATGATTTTTTATCAGATTTTTATTTTAGACAACCAACTACAAGATGACTAAATATTTATGTTGTTTCACAACACTGATATGTAACAGGGTAACAAAATTGTTATTGTTTCATATGAAAACCAGTAATTTTCAAATGAGAAAACAATCGCGTAGTAAAAAGTTAATGTCAAGTGAAACAACACTCGTATGAAACTAGGGTAACAAAAAACAGTTATTGTTCCATATGAGAACCAATAATTGGTTTGGTTTCATAAGAGAAACAAAACAGTTGCAATGAAGACGGTTAACTATGGCAACTAAATGAGATTTCTAAGGAAAAGATCATCCCTAAAATAAATCTGTTAAATATGGTATCCTGCAAGATATTTAAGGAAGATAATCATTCATAAAATATGAATATGTTGAAAAAGACAAACATGGCCTTGTTTGTACGGTTTGCAAACTGACTATTGTAGATTCAATCTCAACCACAAATCAATAAATAAATTAGGAAAATTTATAATTTTGAATTAAAATTATAATACAAGGACATTTTATGTATTTTCTTTCCTCTCTTCTCTCTCTGTCCCCCGTCCTCCAGCCACCGTCCTTCCATACCACTTAGGCCAGGAACTATTTTTGGTCATCTCTATTTGCTGCTATTATCAGGGCCCAACATATACCAATGAAAGATGACCCAATCACCATACAGACTTGACACCATAGTCGCATGATCCTTTTGAAATATCAGATCGGCAATTTTCAACATCTCTTGAGGCCAAACCACATATCAAGCAACTTCATAAACCCATTAAAGACCACCTTATAATCATGATGCAAACAACTCCTTTTCTTATCCTTAAACAAAGACCAAAATACCCACATCAGAAATTAAAGTTGCACACAAACAGAATCACTAAAGTAAGTAACTTCAAAATACAGAAGACAAGAAGCATACCAGAAAGTTATAGAGATTGTAAGCTTTTTTTTCTTTTTGAAGTACATAATATTTATATACGGTAAATAAAACAAATAAACTCACATACCCTCCTCACCTTTGGTGAGGTCTGAACCCTGACCTCCTAGGAGGCCAAAAGACTCACATACCGGCATACCGCTAGGCCAAAGGCCCTTTGGTTAGAGATTGTAAACTTGATACGAGTAAACATAGTGGATCAGTTCTCTTTCTCTCCTTCATGAGTGTTCACCATTAACTGATTTGTTCCTTCCGACCAAACAGCATGCTCCTTTATCATGGTTCAAAACTCCAGCAGTAGTAGAACGTTTTTCCCTTCACACTGAAAACCAAACCAACCTAAACGAGCACAGTCAATCCCACGTGGAGTAGGGTCTGGGAAGGGTAAGATGTAGGCAGATTTTTCCGCTTCACACTCATATACTGAAATACAAGATTCCACCATACCGGAAAAGAGGGATTCAACATAAGGTCAACACTAAATTTGTCATATGTCATGTGAAGCCATTAGACATGCATCCATCAACATGCATTGATGACGGGATGTTGATCTTGATGGATGATGACCGGTAAACTCAATCTTGTTTAACCCCTGAAGTCTTTTTCTTCCTTATAACCCACTTAAGCAATAGGGTTCATCAGTTTCTGCTTCAAATTTAGCTACCATCCTAAGGTTATCATCATCGTTAAATTCCTGAATGCCATCTTTATGTTCAAACCAGCTGTAACCAGGATCTTTTACTGCCTGTTTTTCAATCATCAACTCCCTGATGTTCCTTACATCATCCCATCTTCCCAGGGAAGAATACATGTTGGCTAGAAGCACATAAGGAGCAGAATTACGTGGATTCAAGCGAAAAAGCTCCTCTGCTGCTCTTCTTGCTAAGCTTACATTAGAATGCACTCTACAAGAACTAAGAAGAACCTCCCATATAATTGGATCATTTACATATGGCATCCTATCTAAAAGAACCTCCACTTCATGGAACCGACCAGCACGTCCTAAAGAATCAATTATACAAGTATAGTGGTCTGGAAGTGGTGCCACTCCATATTCTTGTATCATCGAGTTAAATATCCTAATACCATCATCAATTAACCCTGAATGACTACAGGCAGTCAAAACAGCAACAAATGTTATAGCATCAGGTTTCTCACCTGACTGATTGATCATGTCTTCATATAGAGAAACACCTTCATCTCCACGTCCATTTTGTGCATACCCATGAATCATCTCATTCCAAGTAACGGTGTTCTTAGTGGGCATTGTGTCAAAAAATAATATGGCTTCATCTACATCCCCACATTTAGAATACATATCAATTAGAGCACTTCCAACAATGACATCGTTTACAGTTCCGTCTTTCGAAGCCTGTGCATGAACCTGCCTCCCTTTAGATATAGACGATAACTTGGCACAACAACTAAGTACAGTAGAATAAGAGAATTGAGTAGGAAGCATCTCGTTTTCCAGCATGTTCTTGAATAACATGAAGGCTTCGTTATCAAGATTATTGAGCGATAATCCTGCCATCATAGAATTCCAACAAACTATATCTTGTTCTCTTATTCTATCAAATATAAATTTTGCCACCTCTATCTTATTGCACTTGGAGTACATCACAATGAGTCCACTAGCAACATAGATATCATCATCAACAAGAGTCTTTATTGATACGGCATGAACTTGTCTCCCACCCTTCATGAGCCCCAGAGAAGCACATAAGCTAAAGGTAACAGCAAACGTAGTTCGATCACCTTTGACATTACAAAATTGCATATCTCTGAAAAGCCAAACAGCCTCCTTATGCTTTCCAATCTGGGAATAGCCTGAAAGCAAAGCATTCCAAGAACTTATGCTTGGGCATGACATCCTATTGAATATTTCACGTGCAGTTTCAGTATCTCCTGATTTAAGGCATGCTGAAAACATATTAATGTAGGTCACTTCATCTGGTTCTAAACCAAAACTTTGCATCCTTTTCATACATTCTATTGCCTTCATAATTTGGTATTTCTGGCCATACCCACCAATCATTACATTCCAGGAAACAACAGTAACTTCTGGCAAATTATTAAATACCATTTCGGCACTATCCATATCTCCATCTTTTGCATACATATCTAGCAACGAATTACTCAAGTGTAAATCTCTTTCGAACCCAAGTCTAACTGTGAGGCCGTGAAACTGTTTGCCATTCACAGTAGAGCCATCAATTCCACTTCTAGTGCACACACCAAGGATGCTAGACAACGATATAGCATCAACTTGTATCCCAATTCTATGCATTGATCGAAACATGTGAAAAGCCTCCTCAACATGATCAGTCTCCCTTAACGCCCCCATCATTGCCGTATAAGAAACCTCGTTAACTTCAGGCAAGTTCTCAAAAGCCTTCATTGCATTCCCGATAGACCCACACTTTGCATACATACCTAACAAAGCATTACCAACAAATATATTCTTGTCAAGGCCGATCTTAGTGGCAAACCCATGACATGCACAACCACATTTCAAATCCACCAAAGCCCCGCATGCACTCAAGACACTTGCTAACGTAAAATTTGTTGGCAAGTAACCCGCTCTGTTCATGTCGTAATACAAATTCAATGCTTTTTGCTCCGACCCATCACGAACTAAAGCACTGATCAAAGTGTTCCAGGAGATCGAGTTTCTCTCGGGCATTTTAACAAACAGCTTATGTGCTTCGTCTATATCACCAACCTTGCAATAAGCATTTAACAATGCGTGCCACGAAAACAGGTTCTTGTGTGGCATTTTATCAAACACCCGGCGTGCGGTAATTAAGCGACCACATTTATGGTACAACTCGACTAAGCGGTTTGATAGAAAAGTATCGTCAAACAGCCTAGTACGGAGGATATGAGCATGGAGGAGCTTCCCATTTATATGGGATTTCTTGTCAATACAAAATTGCAAGAAATTTGCCAATTGGGTTGTGGTTCTGCTTTCCATCGGGTGGCAACTGGCGGGTGATTCAAAGTCCCAAAATCGTTAAGAAAAAATATGAGAAATTACTAAACGAGTTTAAATCAAAGGTATTTTTAGGGACTTTTTGTGAAAGAAGAAGAGCAAAAACGCCATTCTTGAATAACAGTGTGGTGGCTTTCCAGCTAGGGCCACATCATATTCCTTCTAAAGTCGGCACTAATCAGCATCTATTTAGGGTTGTTTTTTTTGGCAAAAGTGTACTGTTTATCAACTTCTCGGTGATAAACTGGAGTTTTATAAAAAGTGTTTGGATTAGCTAATGATAGTACCACACTGGATAAGCTAATAAAATAGATGAAATATTCTTTATTTTTTCTATGCAAACACTAAAAACTTCTTATTATCGGTATCACATCAGAATAAATTAATAAGTTAAAAGGAAGTAACCTATTAAAAACTCTTTATTACCGGTGCCAAACCGGTATAAGCATTTTTTTTTTCCATCCAAACATTAAAAACTTCTTATTACCGGTATCACATTGAAACAAGTTAATAAACAATCTCAAACAGACCCTTGTTCTTTTTTTTTCCAAATCAATTTCTATTTCAGGTGTATTTTTCTTTCTTTAGTAAATCACAAAAATATTTATTGGGTAACCGTGTATCCGGTTATTTATCTTATTATATGAACATGATAAGGATCGTGAATCTTTCCTGGTAAAAGACAATGCAATAACTGACAATTATTACTTGGTAAGTGACAGTGGTGACTATTATTCAGTCAGCATTTACAAGGTAAGAAGAGTTTTTCCATTTACCGACAATTTTACTATGTGTTCTTGATGATCAAGAATATTACCCAATAAAATAAATTAAGAACGATGACTCTGACTAATAAACGTTTGATAAATGACCGAAAATTCATGATATGATTTCTTAGCTTTCTAGATCATGTGTCAAGTTAAACACTATATTGTTTTATATTGAATGATAATTACTTTTTGTTTTCTAATGGCAAATTTAGATATTTATTAAATAGTGAAATATTTATTAACTAAATCATCTTTTGTCAAATTCATGAATTTCCCAAAATGAGCAAAATGCATAGAATTGCAATAATATTTTATGTGATTTTTATTTTATACAACCAAGTGACTTAAATTTTCAAGTTATTTATTATTTAAGGTATTTTTTATCCAGTAATTTCAATTCAAAAAGGCGTAAGGCGTGACGTGGCACCGGTAATAGACATTTTTTAGTGTTTGGATAAATAATTTATACCGGTGTCAAACCGATGATAAGAAGTTTTTTAAAAAGTTAAACCCTTCTAACTTATAATAAGTTAATAAGTGTTTTGTAGAAAAAAAATAAATTGTTTCAAATAAGCAATCTCAAACTCCTCCTAAGATTTTTTTATCGTGTTTGAAGGGAAAAAAATGGTAACGTTTGGTTTGATTTATCGAATGATGAGATAATTATTTTTTAACTATTTATTAAATAGTATAATGGCTTTTAAAAATATATAATCGATTTCAATAATATTATATAATATGATTAAAACAATCCGACCCCCTAATCGAATTTACGCTTGCACTTCTGAGATTGATCAATTTCGTATCGCTTCCCATGGAAAATGCCACATTAGAGTTTGTTGATGGATTGACGGTCAGGTTATTGAGAACATTTTGCATTTCTTCTGATAACCGTAACGTGTACCTCTCAACATTTTTTGAACGTCGTTCTCCCATTGAACAAGAGCGGGATATTTTTCTGACAGGTGGGAGGTCATGTTTCAATTCGGTGAGTTGAATTGAAACATAACCTTTTGTTGTCTCCTTTGTGCTATGCCATGACTCTGTCTCGCGACTGAGTGGATCGGGTTTCGGAACAAGACTCGCCCGACAAACCGGGCAAGTGACATGTAAGGCCAACCACTCATCTAAACAATCACGGTGAAAAACATGGCTGCATTCAGGTAGCAAGCGTAGAGCCTCGTGATCCTGGTACCCATTCAAGCACACAGCACATTCTAGCGCTTGTTGCCCAATCATGATCTCTTTCACGACCGAGTATGTAAAACTCGTGAAGGTGGCAACCACGGCAGGGTCAAGTCCACGTGCCGCCACCTGCTTCCCAAGACTCCTTTCACCTCCATTTCCAGTAGTGGCGGCGAGGGCAAACTGATGTTCGGCATAGCGGTGGAACAAGTAAAACAAGAAGCAAATTAACAAGAAGGCACTTAACAAGCATGCCAACACAACTGCCATGGGCAGGCTAATCTTGGTACCAGTTTTTTGCCCCGGCTGCGCAATTGGCGGTGGTTCGTTGGCGGGTTCCGCAGCGGCACAACCATTTGCTAAGAGTAACACAACAACGAGAGCTACCCATTTAATTTCATAACGAAATTTGATGATTTCTATCAATGAAAACTTGATATGATGCATGAAATTTGCTTTTAAATGCTTAGAATTCTAGTGAACGCACTTCGTGATAAAGGGGGGTTGTTTATAGCATTGAACTTCGATCATAACAAGGAAAATAAATAAATTAATGAATTTTAATTTAATTGCTTATTTTTGGATTTTTGTGAATTTCTTTATCCATATTTCACATCGGAATTATAATATTTAATTTAATATGTAATTTATTAGTTATAACAATTGTTTAATTATTTGTTTTTATCTATACAATATTATAAAGCATTTGACAAAAACTCTTAAAAACCACTTTTTATGTATTAAGTATTGTTTATTAATGTATATTATTTAAATCTCAAGATTACAAGTAGATTGTGCGTAAGTATAACTTATTAAMGCTCCATATCTCAATTCGTGTAACTAACTACAGATAAACATAAACAAAATAAACATCTCATTTTAAATCTAAAAAATCTAAATATAATTAAAATAATCATTGAGTTCTAACATAATACTTAATTATTATCTTTATAAAATGTTATATTATTAAACTAAAAATAAATTATTTCATTATTAAACTTAAATTAAATAATAATAAAAATAAATTAAAGAAATTACATAAAAATGAGAAGTTTTAGATAGTTGATTTAATACTAACATTGATATATATTTTTTCAAATTTTTATTGTATTTTCAAATTTATATTTTATTTAAAAATAAAATCATTATTGCTTTCTTAAAAAATACATAAAATCGTATCATAACATTGACAGAGACAAAGAATAAAATAAAACATTAAAATCGATATGTATCTAGCTGCATTGTGCGAGTACCCTTCTAGTAAAAAAAAATAATAATAACCGTGATTCTATACGCCTGTTTGCAATCGTCTAATTTTACTGGATCAGTGATAAAATTGGTTACAAATTTTTAAGCATTTTTTGTTTTTTTTCTTCTAGGTGAATAGGATATCGAGATTTTTTTTTCTCGAAACGAGATTGGTTTCTCTATGTAAATTAATACTATTAGTTTTGTTTTATGTGTTTAATTTCCTTTCCAAATTTGATTTCTTTATAGTCGTTTCTGGTATAATTGAAGGTACTGAGAGTGACTCTCAGATTTAATTGGGTTAGAAAGATTCCGATTTTTTTAAAGATCCGGCAAAAAATACTGATTGACTTATAAGATTCATGATGGAGTATCTCTTGTGCGTTTCTTTATTGATTAATTTTTTTTTGGATCATCGAAGACGGAATTTTTACATATTCTTACAATAATAACGATACCAAAATCATATATTATTTTTTCTTGGTTTTTTTATAATCAAATTTTGAAAAATAAAACAATATACAATTGGGTATATATTATTGGATGTACAAGTTCTTAGATTTTAGTGGTAGATTCTTATAAAAAAGTGGTTTGGTTTGATTACAAGATTCTTGGAATCCAACGGCACGTTATTTTGTTTTTGTGTTTTATAGATTGCAGTTTTGATTCGTATTTGATTGTTTGAATCGATTTAATCGTTATTACGTGAAAAAGACGAAATTGCTTAGTCTTGAAAGATTTGGGTATTACAAAGTTTGTTTTTGAAATCCCTGTATGGTTGTTTGGGAAGAGTTTAACGAGTCTTATGGCTTATTTGATAAGCCATATAGAACTCTTTGAAAGTGGTTTGATGTTCAAAAAAGAGCTTATTCACTCAGCTACTGGGAGGGAGCTTTATGCTAACAGAAGAAAAGTTTTCAACTCTACCCTTGTCGAAAATACCAATCCGTCCCTTGTCGTCACCCCTCTTCTCAGCCTCTATGCTTCCCATAGATCTGGTATTGTCGCTCTCCCCTTTTCTCTTTATTTTGAACCGTATATGTGTTTATGATTTATTCATGCTTTGCAATGGATCTGTTTTCGCACAATTCTCACCGAATGGTTTCCCTGTTTAGTGATGGAAATCCATATTGTTTTATGTGATATTACTATGTTTATTCATCTACAGTATGTTATGTGCTAAATCTCTATATATTATTGTTTCTCTGTATTATGGTTCTCTATAGTATGCTTCTGACCATGTTTTTAATAATGCTTAGAGACAATGAACGTTATCAAGTGATTAAATGAATATTTCAATAATCCACGAAAATTGTTGTTGATCCAAACTCTCTCTCAGTGATTTGATGATTATCTTTTTACTTAGTGAAAAATACTTAGACCTATTTGAGTTTGCTGAGTGATCGCTGAATATGTATTGTAACAGTTTAAGAACTTAAGTTTTTCCTTCTAAGACAAACTCACAACAAAGAATATTATGCGATATCGAAGATAAAGTTGAAGACAAAGATGGTCTACTCATGATATGATGCGGCATTTAGTGATACCATGATTATCTACATTAAGTGTGGAATCTGACCAAGACTCAGCGTTAGCTGAAGAGTCCTTAACGACTCATCTTTATGGTTGGATCAAGTCTTGCAATTCAAGATTGTTTTGTCTTACTCTTTTGCACAAAAAACATACCCCATGCTTCGACCAGACAAAGGTACGGTACGATTTTCTTTCCTGTCTATAAACGTGCTTACCAACTATCTGAAGCAACTGTCTATACGCGGCCAAAAGTCTGCCATATCTGAAGAACAAGGATAAACATTCCACTCATCTATTGACACGTGGATTGTACCCTCTAAAGTGCATTTAATGCAGTAGATATAAATAGCTGAGAATAATCTTCTTCTTAGTTGCACCTTCTACATCCTCAAAACTCTCTTCTCTCTTGTTCTTACCTTCCTTGTGCAAGAAAATGATTCTCAAGATTGTTTAGATTAAGACTTTTCATTATATAGTCTTGCAACTATTTGTAAATTCTATATTGGTTCTTCTTTAATCAATAAAATAATTTAAAAGTAAAAATATTGTGTGTTTGTATTCATCTCCCCCTTCTACAAACTATTTATACTTGTAGAACCCCCTTGGAACCAACATTGTTTACAAATCTTTTCATGAAATTGTAGAAGGAATAATGAAGTTTGTAAAAGAAAGACAACCACTATGAATAAGTCAAATCAACAAAGTCGTTTGAGAGAAATATTTTCGGTATGTTTTATTTATATAGTTATATAATAACTTTCAGATATTCTTTATAAATAAATATTATTTAACAAAGTGTGCAACATGTGCACTAGACGGGTTTCATATGCATGCAAGGAATTGATCTCTTAAGTACATTGTTATCAATTTATTTTGGTCTGTTAAGTACATTGTAACGGTAGAAGACGAAGAGTAAATAAGTTTATGATAGAAAGACGTAGAAGAGAAGGAATTGTAATGGTAGAAAATGAAGAGTAAATGTCTTAGGGGCTGTTTGACAGTTGCTGAATGATTTAGTTCAGAATAGCTAAGAGGTTAGAATGGCTAAGAGGTTCAGAATGGTTAAGTGCTGAATGAAACAAAGTTGTTTGGTAATTGTTCTCTGAATAACAGCAAATTACCATTTTAACCCTCAAGAAATACAATCAATTCTAAACATTTTTTATAAAAAAAAGATGATGTTCTTCATATCAATATCACATATCCTCAAGAAATTGCAAAATGTCGGTAATCCAATCATCATTAACATTGTTACAAACATGAAATTAGCAATAAACACCATCAATTTCCAAAGAAAAATGCTAAATTCCCTAAACCAAACCCTAGACAGGAGAGGACGCAGCAGTGACGAGATGCAAACCCTAGACAGGAGAGGCGACGGCGACGAAGCGGCGACGTGAGGTTGTGGAAGGCGACGAGGCGACGGCGACGAAGCGGCGACGTGAGGCTGTGGAAGGCGACGAGGCGACGGCGACGAAGCGGCGACGTGAGGCGGCGACGAGCGGCGGCGACTAGATGCAAACCCTAGACAGGAGAGGACGAGGCGACCGGAGACGAGGCGACGAGGCGACCGGAGACGAGGCTGCGGCGATCGTAGGGTGGGGGAGGGGCTGTGAGCGATGTGAGCGATGTGTGAGGATGACGGGAGAGAGGGCATAGCTGGAAAAATAAACATCTGAATGGTTTAGGCCCTGTTTGTTTTTCTAAAAAATCACTTAATTGCCTCTTAAGTCTGACCGATTCAGACCTAGAGGAATTAAGTGCGTTTGTTTTTTTTATAAATTAAGTGCTGAAAATGTCTCATTTTGTCTGAATCGGTTAGATGTAAATTTAACTCTGAAAACCTCTTAATTTGATTCCCCTT